AGGCAAAATATGAAATTTCCTGCCAAAATGAAAAGGTTTAATGTGTCCGGCGAGCTCATATTATGGCCTTATGCAGTTGCGAGCGCCGTAAAACACAAAACGGGCTGATCACGCCCATGGAGCTGAACGCTTATAAGAAGTACAATCTTGTGTTTTTACCCAATTTTGGTTCAAATTTTTAAAGCATGAAATTTCTTAAGCACGTTGATTGATTTATTTCACATAAATTTATAAACTTGGCGTCCTCATGGTTAGTTATATTTGTTCGAATTTTTGTTGAAATTAGTGTAGTGAGGACAGAGTTATTACCCTTTAAGTGAGTCCTTTTTGTTTTTAGACACTCTGTATTTGTGCCATTACACCGGCATGTCCCATCCGCCAACTGTCAGAGTTATACCGTCTTTTAAAAACATATTGTAAATTTGCCCCGCTGTACCGCCTGTGAATTGGCCGCCAGAGGGACACACCACACGTGAAACACGGCACCAACTCTGCGACAGTTTATAATATCTTTCCCACAAACCTTTCTGCGAGTTCGGTTTATTTCAAGCGCTTGTTGTCGATATGCTCCTGATCGCTGACTAAGAAAATTTTATAATTTTCAGGCTTTAATCAATATTTTAACAAATTCATAGGAATTGCGCCACCTCGGCCTGCCGGGAAAATATCTGGTCCACATTATTAGCCCAAAGGCCGACGGAGGTTATAAATACATTGTAAAGTCCTTGCCAATGGTCCAAAGGCTTGCCATCACCTGTGGCTGTGAGGCTTTTATATTGTGAGGACTCACACTCAAGTCTACATGATAGGTCAAAGGTTGTCCGAGGTCTGACGAGTATCGAGTCAAAGAAACGTAGGCCTACGGGGTCCTTGACGCATAGCTTAGCTTCTGATCCTAGCTTCTTTCAACTTGAATTTACGTAAAGCTTAGATGGAGCTGTACGTGTTATTGGCTGCAACTTGTTTTTCCCGTGCGTATATGGCAATAGTGAGAAACAGACCTAGAGGAGGCAAAAGTGGTTACATTTTGTTTCTAGTCTCAACCAGTTTACCACTAGTCAAGATGGCTATTAGTGCTATTCCTTTATACCGCCAGCCCGGATGTACCGCCACATTCATGCTCATCCCAAGGTAGGCGGTATAACATGGTTTAAATGAGTTTGGCCGGGTTTGGTACGCTATAGTAATGTACAGTAGGGTAAGGTATGATGAATGGTGTGGTATGAATTTAACGCTCTTATCGACTCTGCTCCTATTTTAATGTCCTTCTCCGATAGCACCAAACCAGAAAGGTGGAGGGCCATGAGATCCATTGGTAAATCTACCCAAGTTCAAAAACGCATCACTGGAGTTCCGAGCCAGGGTCAACTGCATCAGTCCAGCATGATACGAAGTGAGCTGAAGGGCCATTATTATGCAATTTACAGAATTAAAGGACAATGATCCTCCCTCCCTCCCCCAAACCATCTCTTCCCAGATACTCACAGCCACAACCTTAGTGTTTTCCGTGCGTGAGTCTGAGATCATATTATCTCTGCATATAACTTTGTTTCTGCGTGGTTAACATTATGATGTGCAACCAGCATACTATGAGGAAACACACAAAAGCAATGCTTAGAACAGTTGGGAGTTACAAATCAACAGTTGTAGAGCGTGTTTGGTTGAAAAATAGTCTGATGTGTGTGTGTGTGTGTGTGTGTGTGTGTGTGTGT